TCTAGCTGATGGTTGAGTAGGATTTGAGGAATTTCTAGCGTGAAAGGGTTAATTTCGAACCTAGGGTTCGGCCGATTTTGAGACCACGATTTCAGCCACTTCCGGCCACTTTTTGGGGTATGTCCAAGAACAAAAATGGTTCCAAATAGGGTGTTTTACCTAGGATAGGAGTCTTGAGCTGAGATGTGGAGATTTTCCGGCGAAGCGTTATCGCTTTAGGCATCACGCGCTGCCAGCGTGTGTGGCGGCGCGTGGGCAATAAGGTGGGGACCACAGTCAGTCCTAGAATGATCTCCTAGTCCTCACAAGCGCGTAGGATTTCGCGGAACTTAATTCGGATATCGTTTGAACCCCGAACGGATCTCGCCTAGTATGCGATTTCCGGGTTCAACACATTTGAACCATTGGATCATAGTTAATTCCAAGTATGTTAATCTAGGTCTTTTCAGGATCGTGTAGTATTTGACGGATCGTAAAACGGAGTCCCGGTTACTCCAGAAATGTCAGCCCTAGAGTATGTTCTACAGATAAGTAAACCAGTTACAAAATAAACAAACCAGTTACAGGTCATGAACAGAGGAGAGAACTACGTGTGGTTTGATCCCTCAGTAAGGGTACGTAGGCAGCCTACAGTTACCAGGAGCAGCCACGAGTTAGGCCCCTAGAGTTGTGTTACTGTTTTTCAGGGCATTTTGGTCTTTTACGACCCACAGTTACCAGGTGTCAATTTTAAACAGGTTTCGACCCGCTTTCCAAAGTGTAAATTGGGTCAGGTCGTTTCATATGAGATCTCTAAGGGTTATTAGTTATCATTATTTAATGGCCAAAAGTCACTTTTGATCTCTGTAGTTTGGCACTTCAACCACTTTTGACCTTGTAGTTTCAATTTCGTTACTTTTAACCCTGTAGTTTCATATTTGAAGCAATTCAAGGACATGTTAAAATTTTTGTTAATTTCTTTGATAGAGTAACCACGTGGAGGGGAAATTTTGTCACTCCAAAGCCCTACGTAAAAACTTGTCTCTACCCCACGTAAAACCAAGAATTTAGTATCTTTCTATTATGATTGTTAAATCTGATTGCTATTTCACAAAACATTTGAGTGTTTTTTTAGTCAATTCTGGTTGCATTAAACCCCAAATAGGGTCTTACACTTGCTGCATAAAAAGCATGTTTGATAACAAAAGAAGAATTCAAGGCATGTTACTTATAGCAAAAGAAGAAAATTCACAAAATATTGGCCAACAACCAAAATAAGCAATTTCAGTTCACTTGGAATTTTTCTTGTTTGTTGCTTTTCCTGGTGAGTTCCATCGGGCACTTGAACCTCCCATTTGCCTCGATAGTGGAGGCCTAATGCTAACTCCCATATGCCTTGGATTCACAGAACTTGCACCTCCCATTTACATATTAAGAGTTGGTCTTGTATTCATTGATCTTGCACCTCCAATTTGTCTTTGATTCACAGAGCTTAAACTTTCAATTTGCATATTAGGAATAGGCCTTGGAGTGGGTATAAATAGAGGAGTTGGTCTTGGAGTGGGCATAAGAGGAGTTGGCCTTGGTGCATTTGGAGCATTTACATAACATTTCCTAATCTACATAGCTACACAAAATGTATATTAATATATATATATATATATTTACATATAAATATATATTAGGAAAAATGAAAACACTTACAAGAAGCTTTTGTCTTTGCATCAGAGTGGTGTGCACATTCTCTTGAGTTGGCATAAGAGAAAAGGAGGCCACATCTGTAGCACCATTACTTCTCTTTTTCTTCAAAGAAGCTGGAAGTCCCCATTTTTTTATCAATATAGGTTCCATGCTTGGGGCTGATTAGAGCAATTCCTTTTGTTGTAGCCTTTTTTCCAACACTTGGTACACGTGACAGTGCCTTTTCTTTTGAGTTTAGTACCACTGGTATCAACAACCTTCTCCATTTCAGGGTCCTTTTTCCTACTCCTTTTTGGTTTCTCCGGTTGTTTTCTAACAATTAGAGGTAAGAGTTGTATTTGATTTGACTTTGGCCACATGTTAAAGCCCTTCACTGGATGAATCATTGGCTCATAAGCCTTCAAATAAGTGTCCTTAAGATAGCATGAAGCTACATAATCTTCTAGACTACCCCTATAAATATATATGGCAGCAACGACATGAATGCAAGGGATACCATTAAGATCCCATCTCATACAAGAGCATATCTTCAATGCTATATGTACCACATGTTGATCATGTAAGTACTCTTCCACTTGATATTCAAATGCTTTAGCTGCTGTCGGCATACAATTCCTAGCCGAATGCATCTTTATCTTCTCCAATTTCTTTTGAATTTTAGGGGAAATGACCCCCTCATGTTTTGCCATAACAATCCTCTTCACTTCCAACCTTTTCATTAGGTTACACCTTATGATTTCTAGTATGGTCAATATAGGTTTATCTCGGGCACCCAAGATGTAGCTGTTAAATGTTTCACACAAATTATTTAACAACATATCACATTTAAGGGCAATGCCAAAACTATGTCTAGCCCACTTATTTAGATCTTTCCTCATCAACCAATTATAAGCATCACCGTCCATCTATTTCAGCTTATTCATCTCAACCTCAAAGTTATGGCTATTGGGAGCCCTAGCTGCACTCCATAAAAGATTTTTCAAACCATTGCCCTTATACTTTTCCTTGAAGTTCCCATACATATGCCTAATACACCACCTATGTTGGGCTTGAGGCACAACAATATCAAAGGCTTTGTCCAACCCCTATATCAGTTATAAGCATAATCACATTTTAGTTGTTCTTGAATATATATTATATTAATAATCAATAAAACCATATGTTATTCATAAGTTTATTCAGAATAATAAATAATAAAGAATAAAGTTAAACCATTATGCATGAATTATAAGCTCACCTTTTGTTGGTCTGATATGAATATCCATCCATGGTCTTTTATAGGACCAAGATCATCCATTAGCAACTCCAAAAACCAGCTCCATGTCTCTTTAGTTTCCAACTCTACAGTAGCATATGCAATAGGGTACATGTTATCATTGACATCAACACCCACTGCAGCAAGTAATTGACCTATGAAAGAAAGAAGTTAAACTCACATATTATTGGAAAATATCAATTAATATAAGTGGCTAATCTGAGTATTAATTCAAACTATTTGTTTTAGTTATTACCTGAGAAATGACCCTTCAAATGACATCCATCCACTCCAATGATGGGTCTGCAACCAGCTAGAAAGTCTTTTTTGCATGCATTAAGGCACACATAAAGTCTCTGCAAGTGTGGAGGAGGCTCCACCCTTATCTTCATTGCGCTTCCCACATTTATTGCTTTCACCTCATCACAATACTCCCACAGCCTTGAGTACTGCTCCATGTAAGTCCCTTCTATTATTTTTTTGGCTTTCCTCTTAGCTCTAGAACATTGGCTATCTGAAACATTATACCCTAAGTCCCTCTTCACTGCCTTCTTAAGATTTTTATTCGTAATATCAGACTCATCCATGATACAATCTATATACTTTTGAGCTATGTATACACAATTGACATGTGGGTTAGTAGGGTTTCGGACGCAAATGTGTTTATCAATAAAGGTCTTTATCTGCAACATTTCCTCTAGTTGCATATATGAAGCATGAAGCATCCAAGTGCAGTTTGTACATCTTGCAGTGATCCTCCTCTTATCATTTTTGACAAATTTTATTGAATAATTTCCCATCACTGCATAATTCTTAACAGCTGTCTTCAAGATCTCCTTGCTTCCAAATAACATTCATTTCTCAAGCTTGGGATTATTCAAATCAGACTTACAGAACATTGGATACTTCGTCTTCATTTCACCATCCTCATCTGAAGAGTGGTTAGGTGAATTGAAAGATTTTTCTGAGTTTGTATCCGAGTCTTCTTCATGATCAAAAGCCATAAAATCCTTAGGTAGATAGGTATTTCCTACTTTCCCAAAACTGGATTGCATATTTCCATCAAACAGGTTATTGTCATCAATGGCAGCATCATTATCACTTTCATATATTTCTTTATATGATTCATCACCATTGTCTTGAAGATCTCTTACTCTCCTCTTACCATCAACGTCAAACTCTTCTTCACTATCCTCTTCATCATCAACATTGACAGGTACCTCTATCCTATCTTCATTGCCAATATTATGTCCATACACAGGCACTTCTATTGTTCCCATGTTGTCATTACCCACTTCTTATCCACCATCAAAGGAAATTTGCAAAGCTTGATTAAAAATATCATCAAAATATTCATCTGGAACCTCATCAAATACTTCGACATAAGGAAATCGTGGAGGGCCAGCATCTGAAAAATTAATGCCTTGAGAAAGAAAATATTTCTTTACTTTATGTGGATCAAAGCATTCAGAGCTATTAAATAACAAATGGCATACATATTGCTTTACTTAATGCAAATAGTGGACCATTGTGTTTCCCAAACTCCCAATACACACACTATTTTATACAATTTTCAACCATCATAGCAACAAAGCAATAACTTTCCAAATCCAAAGTTACAGAACAAAACAAAGTCATTCGAATAAGAAAAACAAAACAAAACAAAGCCACAAAACAAAAGAATGGAATAAACAAAAGCGAGAACATAGAAGAGTGCAAAAACAAAGTTCTTGGGATTGCCATTGCCACCATTTTTGAAGATTGACATTGTCCCAAGCTATTCAGTGAGAGCATCAATCAAGAATCTGGCCAAGTAAAAAAACAGACAAAAACAAAAGGCTCAATAAAAAGTGGAAAATGGGAGAGGTTGGATGAACAAGGAAAGTGCAGATTGGTTGGGGTGGCAACTGTTGATCCTATTAATGACTTTCTGATTAACTCCTTCCTTGGCCTACCCACTGAATGCCTTGCCGACCTCAATGCTATCATTTTCTTGTCTTAGTTCTTAGTGGTTTCAAGAGAGACAATCATTCCTTTTTCTGTAGAGTAATATATATATATATATAATCAACACTGAAAATCAAGCTTTTTCTCTAAATTTCAAAAAAATTACCCACTTCATGGGTTGCATACGGAATTTATACTAATTCCTCTAATGATGATCATTAAAATTTATATATGTGAGTATTACATAGCCTTACACTAAAATGTAAATGAATTTGACTGTTTAACAAGTGATGATTACAAAAATTATAGCTATTTTATGATTTTTTTTCTTTTTCTTTTTCCTGTGTTGTTATCATTCTCTTTCTACAACTATATAAACATCATTTGCTTTTAGAAATGGCATTGGAACCTACTTATATGCATTGAAAACTTGAATAAAAGAAAGTTATAAAACAATTTCGCACAGAAAACTGAACCTTTAAAGATTTTGAGTTTACCTGGATTATTGAAGCCTCCATCAACTTCACCTCTCTTCTTCACCTCCATCGACTTCACCTCCCTAAACCCTATTGAAGTTATGCTAGTCTTTTCGCACCCTCACGTTGCACTTAATTGAAAGCCTAGATGAATTTCACTAAATTTTTAAGAGCCCTAATCCTAATCTGCTTCAAAATAGCCAATTTCGCGCGCCCTAGGGAAGAGGAAGAGACAAGTTGCTTTGGATTGACAAAATTGCCCCTCCACGTGAGGGGCACATGTTTACTTTGTTAAAGAAATTAACAAAAATTTTAACATGTCCTTGAATTGCTTCAAATATGAAACTACATGATTAAAAGTGACGAAATTGTAACTGCAGGGTCAAAAGTAGTTCAAGTGCCAAACGATAGGGACCAAAAGTTACTTTTGGCCTTATTTAATATTATTATGATTATTATTAAAGTATATGGATTGGGTGATATCGGGTTATTTATGAAAGCCTATTATTTTAATTGTGGAATATAGTATTTTATGGAAATTAAGTGTAAACAAGTTTTGATTATTATTTGAATTATTTTTAGGTCTTTATGGAATATATGCTTGAGAGTTTATTTTCTATACTATGAATAAATATTTGGAAAAATTGAATTAAGGAATGGAATATTATCTTTATAATATTTATATAAGGGTTATAAACCTCACCATCATATTTACCTTCCCTATTCACTATACCCACACGTGGCATTGGATTTTCCGGCATGTGGGCTTCCTTGGTTACTGACGTCTGGTTATTTTACCACACGTGGCGTTGGATTTTTCCGGCGCGTGGTAAAGAACCCAGACATATTTGATATTGGTTCATTTACCCACACATAGCGTTGGATTTTCCGGTGTGTATGCTCAATTGAATACTGGTTACTTTACCACACGTGGCGTTGGATTATTCCGGCGTATGATAAAGGATCCGGACATTTTGATTACTATTACTTTACTACACATGGCGTAGGACTCTGCTAAGGTTTGGGAATTTTAAACTGCGTTTTTACAGGTTGAAAATATTTGTTAAGTCTGTTTATTATGGGACACTCTGCCGAAATTTTGGCAGAAAGTCTCGACTCTTTCCTCCTTTGATTTGGAAGAGAGGCTAGGATGTTAGTAAGTGGGCCCGGCATCGGTTGAATGTCAGAAAAACCATAGGATCCATCACGGATTTCGAGGAATTCTGGCAGGTCCTATCATGCAGATCAAGCATTTACCAACTGGAATCTTTATCCATCAATCAACATATACATAAAAAGTTTGAAAATGATTTTACATGGATAAAGCCCATCCATTAAGTAGCCTCATGGTTGTTCGATCACTTGATGTAAAAAAATATCATTTTTGCCCACGAGAAGATAACGAAGAATTACTTTGTCTTGAAGTACCATACCTTAGTTCAATTGGAGCTTTAATGTATCTTGCAAATTGTACACGGCCTTATATAGCTTTTTGTGTCAATTTATTAGCAAGGTATAGCTCTGCACCAACTAACAGACATTGGAATGGTGTTAAACATATACTACGGTATCTTCGTGGAACAACTGACATGAGTTTATTTTATTCAAAAGGATCAAAATCCCAAATAGTTGGCTATGCTGATGCTGGTTATCGTTCTGATCCACATAAAGCTAGATCACAAACAGGGTATGTGTTCACTTGTGATGGTGCTGCTATATCACGGCGGTCTATAAAGCAAACATTAGCCGCCACTTCTTCAAACCATTCTGAAATATTAGCATTGCATGAAGCAAGCCAGGAATGTATATGGCTGAGATCTATGATACAACATATTCAAGAAATAAGTGGGTCAACTTCAATAAAAAATTCTCCAACATTACTATATGAAGATAACGCTGCTTGTATTGCTCAAATCACAAATGGATACATCAAAGGTGACAAAACCAAGCACATTTCCCCAAAAATGTTCTACATGCATGAAATTAAGAAGAATGGTGACAGATGTTCAACAAATACAATCCATCAACAACTTTGTAGATTTATTCACTAAAGCACTGCCAACTACAACATTCAGAAATATAGTCAACAATATTGGAATGCGTCAACTCAAGGATCTTTTGTCAGCATCAGGGGGAGCGTGTCATAATTGAGACCTTCACACTGTACTCTTTTTCCTTCATTCTGGTTTTTATCCCATTGGATTTTTTCAGGTAAGATTTTAATGAGGTAGTGTCACACATTCTATATTACACATAGATATGTACTATTTTCCCTTCGCCTAGGTTTTGTCCCACACTGGCAAGGTTTTAACTAGGCATACTCCATACATGGTGGACATCCAAGAGGGAGTGTTGTAACGTCAAAGGTTATGAATGCCCACTATAAGTCCACTGTAATTCCTCCATTATACCCATTATTATACCTATCATTATAGGGTTGTAACCGATGCACTAAATACCATATTTATCATTGGTTATTATATTTTGTAACCCACTACTTAAGGGTGGTAAATGGTGATGTATTTCCTATGCCTATAAATAGTAGGCACTAAAGATGAATAAGACACTTGAGCATTGAGCTATTAAGAACAACTCTTACCTTCATATACTTTCTCTATTCACTTTTACAACAAAGTTGAATTTTTTTAATGTTTATTTCTCTTTTTATTTTTATATGTTTGCCCAAACTATTAAAAAGTTTACCTAAAACATAAATATAAAGTGAGCATGAGGAGCTTGTGGCATAGGGAGCTTGTGGCATGGGAGCTAAGCTTTCATAAGTTTAGCAATTTGAGAGAGGGAGAGAAGCACGAATTTCTTACGGAGAATGAAGGTTTGGAGTAGGGCAGAGGAAAATTAGGAGGATTTCTTCCTAATAGGAAGATGAAACAACTAGAGGCAAAAATTGGGTGGCTTGAGTAAAATTCCCAGTTTGCTTCACAAAGCTTGGTTAGGCTCTGGATTGTTGATTTTGCTGGGTAGAAGAAGCTTCATTTTATATGCACAAAGAATCCCTAATTTCATCTAACCTTCTTCTCCCTTTTCGTTGCTCCTTCCCACTTGATCTTATTTGATGCAATTTTCCTATCCAAGGCGCATGGGTAAGGAGCCCTTTGTGGTTCCAAAGTTTTGACACAGCTGGTCTTCTCCATAAGGGTGAAGCACCACCTGTTTTCCCTCTGATTTTTCAAGATGGAGCTTGCAGTGGAAAAAAAGATGGATAGAGGCTTTTGTCCGATGGGTATTCTTCCTACACTCATGGGTTTCCGTTGGTCTCTGTCATGACTTCCTATTTGACCATCTTGGAGTCCTAACAAGGGTGGAGCACGGTGACAGCTTTTCTACAAGTTGTTAGGCTGGGCTCATGTGCAATATTGGGCTGTCAACACATATTTCTAGCGCTTAATGGGTTTTCGTCAAGCTGCTGGGAA